GTTGCCTGACAAATGCACCAGCTCACCCAGCCATGGCTCTGGGTGTACGTATTCTATGTGTTTCCAGAGTTCCCCCATGGGATTGAGATCCAGTTGCCCAAAGGAGTAGCTTGTTGAAAATGCACTCTTTAGGGCTGAGGTTGTAGCTCAGTAGTTGAATGTTTGCCTCGCATGGGTGAGGCACTGGGTTGAATCCTCAGCACCACATAAAAATAAATAAATAAACAAAACAAAGATATTGTGTCCATGTACAACTAAAAAAAAAAAAACAGTAAATGCATTCTTTATCTTCTCATCTTGTCTCCCCTACCACCCCACCCATGCTCACCCCAATGACTCCTGGAATTGCTGCCCAAATAAACTTTGTATTTGAATCGTTGCCTCAGGGTCTGCTTCTAGAGGAAGCCAAAGGAAAGATTCGCCTCTCCAGGCTTTGGGGTATCTAGTCTCCCTTCCCTCCATCATTCTTTCTTTTAGATAAAGAGTATAAATCAATAGACATCTTGAAGTTTCTTTCCATGCACCAGTGGTTGTCTGGGCAGCTCCACTTTGAAGACCACAGAATCAAAGACCTTGGCCTTTATCCACATCCCCTGTTCCTCAGCCAGTCTTAGAGCTGAATGCCTTACCTCATTATCCCATAACATGCACCCAGGATGTACCCATCAGGGGCCTCAGAACAATGGGCTCCCCTGAGTTGTTTGAGTGATCTCTGTTTCTTTCTTTCTGGTTTTTAATCTTGATTTGTTTTCTCATTACAAGAGCATCTGCTACTCACCTTCCCTCTCCCAGGACTGTCCCTTTGGGGCTTGTAATTGCATTCAACAGATGTGGATACATCACCTACTGCGGTTGGGGGTGAAGGGGTCTTGAGGACAATCATGGAAGGAAGGCACCGTCCAGCTTGCCTGTTTTCTCCCAGTTCCTGTTCCTCCCCACAGGCTGCTCCTTGTGCCTTTCTGTCTCCTATCCATAGGAAATACTAGAATGTCTTTAGAGCAAAACGTTCTCTCCTTTTACTTTGATCTCAGGAGATCTCAGGTAGGGGTATGAAGGAAGTAAGCTGGAGACTTGCCAGATGAGGAGCAGCCTCGTGCCCGCAGGTGTCTTGCCCACTCATGTAGTTCTCCCAAGGTCCGGAGTGGGTTAGAGCTGTCATTCATATTGTTCTGTGCTCCTCCATGATAATGATCCTATCTCAGAGATGAAAACTAGTTAATGCTGCCCCACGGACCAGACACTGATGCCTGGGAGCCTGGGAGGATGATTGGGCTTCAGATCCATGAGCAATGCAGTCAGGATGATGCTCTGGGCTACCTCAGGGGAAGTGCAGCTGAGCGGGACCTGCTGTGGGGCAGAGCTCAGGCAAGTGAACTGTGCCCCCAGCCGGCAATACTGGATACTGGTCCACAGCCCCAGGGGAGCCTGCTTTCTTCCCCTCCCCTAGTCCCTATACTCCCTCACCCCAGTAATCCCCTCCCATGGAGAGACCAAGCCCAGTGAAGGGAGTTTGGCTTGGGGCTTAGACCAGACTTCCTTGGTCTGATTCTCAGGGGCCTGGCAGGAGCTGGGAGCAGGCAGGACCCAGGACTGACTGATATTTGCCAAAGATGGGGGCAGGGAGAGGATAGACTGTACCCATTTGGAATTTGGCCTGTGTAGTGCAAGGGCCTCTGTGTAGAAGGGGTGTGTTGAGCGGCCAAGGGGATTCTGTTGGCTCTCAGCATATACCCCCTCCTCGACCAAAGTCTTTCTCTGACCTCTCCTTCCCCACTACCCAGGAGAATTCCAGGCTGAAAATGTCAGAAAAAGGGGGCAGCGGTGACCTGGGATTGCTTCACAATGCCACCCCCTCTGGCCTTCTCTCCCACTAGGTAGTCCTGGAACCTTCCCCTTAGTGAGCTCAAACTAAGCTGGCCCTGGGAGCAGGAAGGAGGAGCTCAGGGTTGGCACCTCATTAGCATATTCATCAACAGTAATCAGGAACCTGCTGTGATAGAAAGCCCTCTTAGGGCTTCCCTGCCTCTCAGCTGGTTAGGGAAGTGGGTGGAGGGGCTGGTCAAGGTCTCCACTTGAAAGGGCTACAGTCCAAGGGGGAGGGAATGGAGAAGGATGCAGGGAGCTGGACATCCCTGGAGAAAGAAACCTTTGACCCCTCCCCCTCATCTTGAGCAGGGGAGGAGAGGTCTCATCATTTCTGCCTCCTGTATCACCATTTCATATGACCACTGTGGCTCCCAAGCACCCTCTCAGGGGGGAGGAATAATGTTCATTATATTATTTATGTGTAATCTGTATGGGTAAAAACACAAGCCCCCTCCTGACCATGGCATCTCAGATACTTTGACTTAGAATAGAAAAGAGTTGATTGATTTTAAATTATATGGAGATTTCAGGTGTGTTGACACACACCTGTAATCCCAGCAGGTTGGGAGGCTAAGGCAGGAGGATCATAAGTTTGAGGCCAGCCTCAGCAACTTAGGCCCTAGGCAAGTTAGTGAGACCCTTCTCAAAATAAAATTTAAAAATTAAAAATAAAAAGGGCTGGGGATGTAGTTTAATGATAATTGTTCCTAGGTTTAATCCCTAGTACAAGAAAGAAAGAAAGAAAGAAAGGGGGGGGGGAGGAAGGGAAAGAAAGGAAGGAAGGAAGGAAGGAAGAAATTAATTATATGGCAAAAAACTTTCAGCAGGAATGGATTTGGCAGCCATTATCCCAGTGGCATGCCTCTGGTGGGCATCTGGGATGCTGGTCTTCATGGCTCTTGGGGCAGTTCCAGCATCCTCATTCTCTCCCTATAGCAGCCTCCCATTGGTCCACCACACTGTGTCCTCCCCTGTAGCATCTTCTAAGTTCTGCCTGCCTTCAGAACTTTCTGGTGACTCTTAGTCATGTTTCCCAAACTACACTCCCCAGTAAAAGTACCTATCAAGAAAGAATAAGCATGATGCATTAACTGTCTGTTACTGCATAAAATAGTTATTCCAAACTCAGCAGCTTAAAACCAACATTTATTTCACACAGTTTCTGTGAATGAGAAATCAAGGAGCAGCTTACCTGGGCAGTTCTGGCTCAGAGCTTGTCCTGAGGCTGTGGTCAAGATGGCGGCTGGGACTGCCATCATCCGAAGGCTTGACTGAGCCTGATGGATCTTCATTCAAGGTAGCTCAAATTGACAAGTTGGTGCTGGCTCTTGGCAGGAGGCCTCAGTTCTTCTCTACGTGGACCTCTCCATAGAGCAGTTTGAGTCCTCACAACATGGCAGCTGGCTTCTTTGGAGTGACAGTCTAAGAGAGAGCACAAGGTAGAAGCTGCAATGCTTTTATTATCTAGCCTTGGAAATTATATGCTATCACTTGTGCCATATTCTATTGGCAGCACAGACCAACCCCAACCCAATATGAGAGGAGACTCCACAAGGGCATGGATCGTTAGGAACCATTTTGGAGGGAACACCGGCCTGTGCCAACTCTAGTAGAATCTGGAGGATATCTCAAGGCCTCCCCAAAGACTCCCAGTGAGCCATGAAACTGCATTTCCCAGCAACTGTGGCCACAGAACCCATTCTAAAGGGAGAATCTGGAGCCACAAAACATCTAAGGAACATGCTTTAGAAGACCACAGCCCAGAGAAGAAAGTCTAAAGTCCTTCTCCTAGTGTTTGGGTACCCTGCACATTCTGGCAGGACTTCCCATGCAAATTTTCTCTCCTTGCTTCACTTTTTCTTCTTTCTTTCTTTTGATTTCTTTTCTTTCTTTCTTTCTTTTTTTTTTTTTTTGAGATGGGGGTCTATCTACTGTGTTGCCCAGACTGGTCTCAAACTCATGAACTCAAGTGATCCACCCTAGCCTACCATATATACCGGGACTATAGGCATGCACCACCACATTCAACCTCCACTTCAGTTTCTGAAATCTGGTCCAGTGACACTGACCCTCACATGCCCAGCCATTTCTCAGGCTGTTGGTTCTGTTTTGTTGCCTCCTCCACTTATTGAGCTCCTATTTACTCCTCAAATCCAGAGGAAAAGCCACCATCTCTGTGAAGTTTTCCCCTCCTCTCCCACAAAAAGAATCGATTTTTTTTTCTTTTTTTAGCATTTCTTAGTTTTATACATGGTGACATCTTTTGGGAAATGCCTACCACTTTGTCTTATGTTCCACTTCTCTATGAAAGAAAAAAAGAAAGAAATGCCTCTCCTTCAAGGCATTTCACTCCAGTCCCATTTGTTGGATGTGTCCAGACCTTGGTACACCACTGGAATTCAGGAAGTATTTGACAAGCAGGACCTTGATTCTTCTCTTCTCTCTGCTCTTGCCCTGGCCTTGCTTCTGGGAATGGCTTCTGATGAGCCAGGAGAAAATGCTTGGCAAGGTCAGACTAGAAGGTCTCCTGCCCCAGGGAGCCATGGTTGTCTTTCTTTGGGCTGGAGACAGATCTCTGTAAACCTGGGGAAGATATTCCCCATCTTCAGCCATATACCAGGGTCCAGACTGAGCAGACTTGTGACCTGAAGCCAGTTTGATGTCTCTGATAATTTGAGGGACATCATTTCCTAGGCTCATAGAAGCCTCAGCTGTGGGCTAGGGTTCAATGGGAAATTTGTTCCAGAACCTTCCAAGTGCCCCTTAATTGCCCTAACAGGCAGTCCCAGGAGCCTGTGGTCAATACGATGGGTTGGTTTGTACATCTGGCTTCTGAGATCAGATTTTCAAAATGTGGAGCTGAGGGAAAAGCCTGAGAGGGGGCCTGACAGGAGGTCTCCAGGCGACACCCATGCAGGTGCCCTTTGCTTCCGAGGCAGCAGACCAGGGTGATCCTGGTGCTGGGAGGCCTCATTCAGGGACCGAGATAGCCCAGACCAGGGTGGAAGAGCCCATGTAGTCTGATTTCTTGCCCAAACTCTTGACATCTTGGAGCCGGGTCCTGGCCAGAGACATTGGGGTCTTTCTCACCGGAGGGTCCTTCCGGCGGTTTTCCAGCTCCTTTCCTCCTGCAGTGGCGTGGGCCTGGCACGAGCACATTTTGAGAAGCAGCCCCCTTCCAACCTCAGGAAATCCAACTTCTTCCACTTCGTGCTGGCCATGTATGACCGGCAGGGGCAGCCCGTGGAGGTGGAGCGTACAGCCTTCATCGACTTCGTGGAGAAGGACCGAGTGAGAGGCTCGTGGGCTGGCCTGGGACCAGCACGGGAGGGACGGGAGGGCTTAAGGGACCCCACACACACAACCTGCAACACAACGCACATGTGCACACACACACACACACACACACACTGGGGCAAATGAATGGATAGATGTTGGATGAACAGAGAGGGGGTGGATGGCTAAAAGGAAGGAGAATGGGTTTAGGGAAGAGGATATGGGTATAGGAGGCTCGAGGGTCCCTGAGTACCTTGGCAACCTTCCTCCTCTTGTCCCTTAGGAGCCTGGGGCAGAAAAAACAAACAATGGGATCCATTACCGACTGCGGCTGGTGTATAACAATGGTAAGCAAAGGCCAGTGCCCTCCTCAGCCCCGACCCAGAAGAAGACTGAGCACCACAGTGACATACAATGCCCCTCGACAGTGGTGGGGAGGGTGGGGGTGTGATCCAGTCATCAGAGGCCCCAGGTACACCCTGACAGCAACCCTCTCCACCTTCCCACCTTAGGTCTTCGGACAGAGCAAGACCTCTATGTGCGACTCATCGACTCCATGTCCAAGCAGGTGAGCCAGCCAGGGGATGCGAGGCCTGTCCCACCTTCTTCTTGGACCTGGCTCCCTCGGGTCTGAATGAGCTCCTCATCCCATTCCCTGTCCTTGTTGTCCTTGTTCCCCCCACCCCTGTGCCTTTTATCCACACCAGTCTCACTCTTCCAATCCCCACCCCTACTTGTGGTAGGAGCTAGGACGATTGGGCCCTTTCCCTCTAGTCAGAAACAATGAAATTTGTGTGAGCCTCTGGCCTAGGTCATGTCCCCTGGCAGCTCAACCTATGAGAATTCAGGTGCAAGTAGTTTGTTGGGGATATGGCCTGGGGTGGGTGGGGTGAGGCTGGGGAGAAGGGGAGGGAGGAGAGCAGGGCAGGAAGATGCACAGCTAGGAGATGGCTACAGACTGATCCACAGAGAGCACTGGAGAAGAAATGGCACCAGTGTTGGCCCAGCCTGAATCAAGGAGGCCAAGATTTTGCACCCTGGATGGGTCAGTTATTGTTTGGGGACCCCTCCTAAGGGAAGTGGATGCAGGAGAGGCAGCTCCCGTCTCTGGGGAGCAGTTCTCAAGAGAAAGCCCTCTGCAGCCAGCACAGTGGGGGCTGGGTGCTCTGGTCCTGTAAAGGGATCTGGGTGAGGCCCCAGGAGCTTCCACTGCAGATCCTCAGCTCCTTGCTGATGTGACAGTCACAGGAAGGAGGGTCAGAGGCCACCATAAGCAGCTTGGAGAAAATGAAACCTGAGTGAAGCCCTGATGGATTGTGTGAGGCAGAGCCCCAAGTCTCAGGGCTTCTCAAAGACACTGTGCTTGCTGTCAGAAGTGGCTCAAGTTGCAAACAGGCCAGATCAGTGGCCTGGAATGCAAGGTAGACACTTGAACTGTCCTGCTTGGGCAGAGGCTTCTAGCAGCCTCCATCCAGTCCTAGGGCAGAGGAAGAAATGGTTTGTGTCCAGAAATCTTTGGTCCCTGTGGTGGGAGAAGAAGGTCAGGCAGCAACAAATCGGGGCTTTGTTGAGGATAAGTGAGGAAGGAGTTCAAAGACATCCAGAGAGAAAGAGACCCCACAGAGAAGGAAGCCTGGGAGGCCCAGAGGGCTACAGAGAGGGAAGCCAGATTTGCAGTCTTGGAAGCTCACCCCTTGCTCAGGGCAGATGCAGGCTGGGGAAGCTGGGGAAGATGCTGATCCATGAGTCTGAGCCAGACACACTGGCCTGGCCTGGCCTGATAGGATGGGGGAAGAGGCAGCTGTGCAGCCCTTGGATCTGATGAGTTAGCAGGGTAACTAAGAGGGACAACATTCATGAGCAGAGTCAGAGGTCCACTAGGAGTGTGGGAACAACCTCCATGGAGGAGGAATATGATGCAGGGTGAGGATAGGGGCATGTCTGTCCCATCAGCAGCCTGGCCTTGGTCCTAGTGGAGAGACCCCCATCACCACAGACCCCAAGGAGAGCTACCTTTAGAAAGAGCTTCCTGCAGATAAACACAATCTGCCGAGCTCATGGCCATTTTTGCTACCCTGGTGGTAGTCCTGGTCTGGGGGTGGGAGGCTCTGCACCAGGCCAGCCAGACTCCAGCCTCCTGCTTTGCACCCCTGGGCTCCCTCAGAGCAAGGTGGAGAGCATGATCTTCTCTGGGGGCAGGGACTCTCCTCAGCCTGGGCTTGGGAGATGCCAGTGTAGACCCACAGCCCACCTTTGCACTCCCCCTGCACTTGAGAGGAGCCTCCTTCCTCTCCAGCCTGTGTGTTCCCCCTCCCCCAGGCCATCATCTATGAAGGTCAGGACAAGAACCCTGAAATGTGCCGAGTGCTGCTCACCCACGAGATCATGTGCAGGTGAGACGGGCTGTGTCGCTTGCCTCGTGCCCCTTTGCCAGAATGTTGCCAAGGCTTCCGCCAGGCCCTGCCCCCTGAGCTTGCCGTCCCCCCCTTCACAGAACCCCAGCTCCCTGGGGAAGCTTGGTGAGGGGAGGGGTGAGAGGAGTGAGGCCCCTGGGCACAGTGCTGGCTGAGTAGAGGGTCCTTGAGGCCCCATTAGCCTGGCCTGTTTATGTGGCTTCTCCAAGTGTTTTTGTAAGAGAGGCCTCCTGCCACCACTGGAAGCTGAACTAATAAAGCTCAGGGGAGGGGCTCTGGGGAGATGGGGGGCAGGGCCTGGGCCAGCCAGCCCAGAGGCCTCCGGGATTAGCTCTGAGACTGGAGGTAGGAAACTTTGCTGCCTCTGCATGAACCTGGGGACAGCTCTCTGACCACAGGGTCAGGGTGAGAACACAGCTCTTGGCTCCATTACCCCAGAACTTGGCATTTCCAGCAAGATCACCCCAGGGGCCAGTTGCACAGGTTCTTCCCAGGAAGCTCCTGATGAGTGGAAAAGAGAATCATGTTCCAAAATCTGTCATTGGGATGGTGGCCACCTTTGTGAAGAGGAGTGACAAGGGTCTTAGAGGGTGCTGATCTGGTACTCCTCATCTGTATGCTGCTTACATGAACAGCTTCACTTTGTGATCATTTATGAGCTGCGTGCATGCAATTCAAACCCTTTTCTATGTGGAAATGGTGTTTCTATAACAGTGCGCACACACACACACACACACACACACACACACACACACCCGTTTAGGTGGCCTGCTGCCTACCCTGTCCTAGGTCCTCCAGGAGCAATGCACTTTAGGGACAAAGGCTTCACGGCCAATCTTTTCCTCAGGATGGCTGTCAGGGTCCCTGTCAGGTCCCCCACTGCGTATCTCCCCCAGGACCCTGGGAGTGGGCCCCTGCACCCAGGGATTCCAAACCAGAGACAGGACATCGGTACCCTCACAAGGTCTGCCCTACCTACCCGCCCATGCACACTGTTCTCTCCCCTCTTTCACTGCTTCTTCCTCCCCTCCCTCCTCATCTTTCCTCCAGTCGGTGCTGTGACCGGAAGAGCTGTGGCAACAGGAATGAGACACCCTCAGACCCAGTCATTATTGACAGGTACAAGCTGGGGGAGGGGCCTGGAGCTACAGGGCTGGTTTCAGCCTCAGAATATGGGGGCTTGAAGGAAGAGCACAGCAGCTCCCAAGAACACCACACAGGTGGCTCTGACCCTAGGGAGAAGTTGCCAGGGACTAGGGAGGCCTGCCATCCCTGGCCTCCTGAGTGAAGTCCCGGATGGCAAGCTTCCTGGAGCTGTGAACCAGCACCCAGGGAGAGCTGCAGAGGGTGGAGGAGGGGCATGGGAGAGTCCCTGGTCCACCTCTGCACTGTTTGACTTGTCTTCTCTCAATACCTGCTTCCCCCATGGAAAAGTGGGGAATCCTTGGCAGGTTTCAGTCCTAAGATCTGATGATCTTAGGTGACGTATGTGAAAATGCATTCTCTCTCCACGATTTTCATCTTTAAGTTATTTTATTTCTTTTTGAGTAGGAAATGCATAGGGTACAAAATCCAAAAGGTACAAAGCATAATGAAAAGTCTGCCCTCTGCTTGTATAACATACTGTTCACACCCATTTGCACCTTTTTTTTTTAACAATATATCTTAAATATCATCCCATATGGGAACATAAGCCATACCTTATTCTCCTTTTAATAGATAAAACATTCACAAGATGCAAAAATTCAAGATGTTTAAAAGGGTTTACAGGAAATGTCTTCCACTCTCCCACTTACCCATCCATTCCCTTCTAAATAAGCAACCATTATTACCAGTTTCTTATGTATCCTTCCTGAAATATGCTGTGAACCCACAAGAAAATACAGTTATGCACTCTATCCTCTCTATCCTTTTTATACCTTTACTTTTGTTACAAAAATGATGACATACTAAACACATTTTGCAGGACCTTCTTTTTCTCTGAAAAAAAAATATCTGGGAATTTGTATCAGGACACAAGAAGTCTCCTTATTCTTTTTTTTTTTTTTTCTTGCTACAAAAGATTCCATTGTATGGATACACCATAATTTCTTTAAATGGTCAGCTCTTGCTGAACATTTGAGCTGTTTTAGTGATAAAAAATACACTACCGAATTATGTTGTCCTTGTATCATTTCACACATATGTAAATTTATAAGGATATTTTTTAAAAAGAGAGAATTGCTGGATCAAAAGATAGGTGCATTTGTAATTTTTCTTTTCTTTCTTTCTTTTTCTTTGTTTTTTTTTTTCTTTTTTTGCACTGGGGATGAATCCAGGGACACTTAACCACTGAGCCAAATCCCTAGCTTTTTTTTGTATTTTATTTAGAGACAGGGTCTCATTGAGTTGCTTGTAATTTTGATAGTTATTGCCAATTTGTCCTCTGTAGAGGTTAAAATACTTGGATTCATACCCATATTCTAAGAATGCTTGTTCCACACTCTCTGGCCAATTAAGTATTTTGTTTATTTGGTCAGTGATTTTTGAGCATCTCCTCTGTACTAGGGTCTCTTGTATGAACTGTGGCTTGAGCAGTGACCAAATCAGAAAACTTAGGGGTCATGGGTTTCTAATCTGATAAGGGAAGATAGACATAAGCTATCTAAATGAATAAAACATATAGCATGTTAGATGGTCATAACACAAGGAGAAAAATGAAAGAAAAATCAAAATGTGCCTAGGAAAGGAATATTACAATTTTAGAGTATTTAATGCTGCCTGAAAAGAAGACATTGTAGCCAAGTCCTGGGGAAATAAAAGAGAAAGCCATGTGTGGATCTAGGGGAAGAACGTTTTCAGCAGGAGGGTATGTTTAAGGAACAGCAAAGAGGCCCAGATGGCTGGAGTCAGAGGGATAGATGGAGGAGGTGTCCGAAGTAATGGGTGTGGCAGAAGGAAAGGCTGGACCCTGTAGGACTTGTAGGCTGCATGTGGGCTGTGCTTGTAGGACTGCAAGAACTTTGGCTTTTATTCTGGAGGACATGGAAGCCATAAGGGGGTCTTGAGAAGAATGATATACATTTTAGCAAGACCACTCTACCTGCTCTGCTGATGATTACCTGTAGGAGTCAGGGAGATGATTTAGGAAGCCCAAGAAGCCACTACAATAACACAAGTGAGAAAGAACAGAGGCTGAGACTAGGATGTTATAGAGGAGGGTGAAAAAAGTATTTGGAGCTGAGCATGATGGTGCACTCTTATAATCCCAGCTAGCTGCTCAGGAGGCTGAAGCAGGAAGCAAGTTCAAGGCCAGCCTGGGCAACTTAGACCTTGTCTCAGAATTTAAAAAAGCAGGGCGGCGGCGAGCTGTGTTGTAGCTCAGTGGTATAGTGCTTGCCTGGCATCCTTGAGGACCTAAGTTCAATCTCCAGTACTGCAAAAAGGAAAAAAAAAAAGTATTTGGATTTTGTTATGGAAGGAGGGAGATGAAGAGTGGTATCAAAGTCAAAAATTTCACATGTGTGGAGTTTACAAAGATGATACTGAGCAGAGCAAATTTGCAGGCAAGAAGACTGGCAGTTTGGTTTTAACCATGTAATGTTTAAGATGCTTAGTAAACATTCAGATGGGGGTGTTGAGAAAGAAGCTGAAAACTCAAGTCTAGATTCCAAGGAAAATATTGAGATTGCAGATAAAAAGCAAGAGAATGAGTATTGGTAGAAAATAGGAGAGGTCTAAGAACTGAGTGCTGGGGTGTCCAGTTAGAAGTTGTGAAGATGCAGAATTAGCAGAGGAGAATGCGAAGAAGTTGCCAGTGAGATAAGAGGAAAATCAGGGCAGTGTCATGTCTTGGAGCCTCGATAAGAAAATATTCCAAAAAGGAGGCGGTAGGCAACTACATCAAATGCTGCTTGTGGATAAGATAAAATGACTAAGAATTGACCATTAGGTTTAGCAACCTGGAGAGTACTAGGCCTGTCAACAGAAGCAGTTCAGTGGAGTGGAGAGTGAAGCAAGAGTTTGATAGGACTGTGTCTAAGAATGGGAGAAGAAGATTACAAACAAACACAGGATCCGTTTAGAGTAAAACTCTTTAGAGGGTCGTGGCTGGAGCACAATGCAAGGGTGAGAAAAAAATTCTTTTCTTTTTTTCTTTTTTTTGTGTGGGGGAGTAGGTGGGTGGGTACCAGGTATTGAAATCAGGGGCACTCACCACTGAGCCACATCCCCAACCCTTTTTTGTATTTTATTTAAAGACAGGGTCTCACTGAGTTGCTTAGTGCCTCGCTGTTGCTGAGGCTGGCTTTGAACTCAGGATCCTCCTGTCTTAGCTTCCTGAGCCACTGGGATTACAGGGTGCGCTACAGCTCCCAGCTCCTGATTGTTCTATTTTCTCAGTGAAATAGGAAACTGAGGATGAAGATGGAGAGGGAGACACTAGAGGGCATGACTTAGTTGTCCAGGAGGATGAATAAACCCGGGAAATGTCATGTGACTGTCCAGCAGCACTAAGGACCTGCCAGAGGTTTGCGGTCATAGTTTAGCGAGAACTCTCTCTGGCCAAGTGGGGGTACACAGGTGCAGGTGCAGAACAGGTGGGTGGTTACATAAAACCAGACTTAGGGATTTGAAACCTCAGAGGGCAAGAGAGTGAAAAGAATCTGCCAGGGGGAATTAGCATAAATGAAACAAGGGATTGAAGCTAGTTAAGGAGAGGGAAATTGGAAAGTAAACATAGATTTTGAGGGGAGCTAAAAATTTGATGGGGTTGAGGGACTAGGCAGGAGTTGAGCTGGATGCTGGAAGATAGTTGGAGAGTGAGTTTCCTATATGTGGGATTATTCAGGGTTCATGTTTATTGGGACTATGTGGCCAAGGGAAGGTAGAGACAAGATCAGTGGAGAGGAAATGGTATTAGAATTATCTATGTCGATACTGAAATCACCAAGAATTATCTCAGGACCAGTGATTGAGAATGATATAGTAGTCCAAGAGTAAAAGCTTCAAGGAGTGAAGACAAGTGATCTCAGGGTTGATAAATGACTTCAACAAGTGGTGGTGGCCATAATCCCCCCCCACCACCCCTACTCTTCTTTCATCATGTAACTGAAGAATGTTTCCCCAGGGACTTCCAGTCCTCTACCTCTGAATGAAGTTGAGCACACTCTCTTGAAAGCTATTTGTGTGTCCTTCTCTGGGAACTGTCTGCTCATACCCTATGCATATATTTCTATAAAGCATTCATTTTTCTTAGTGATTTGTAGGAGTGTATATATGAAAGAAATTAGTCCTTTTTCATGAATTACACACATTTTTTTTCCCTAGTTGGTAGTTGTATTTTAACTTTGCTTATGGTTAAATTTGTCCGATCTCTCAATCTTTTTAGATTTGTTTTTGTTGTTGTCGTCGTCGTTATTTTTAGAAAAGCTTCATCATTCCAAAATTATTTTATTTTGTCTTATTCTTAAGCTACTAGGGATCCAACTCAGAGTCTTATATATGCTAGGCAAGCAGTATACCCCCGAACTACACCCCCAGCTCCCACAGTTATTTTTTTAAAATTATCATATAGTTTCTTACAGTACTTTGGTCATTTTGCTGCTTACATTTAAATATTTGATCCATTTGGGAAAAAAATTAAGTTTCTATGTCCTATGTGTTACGTGTAAAAGAAAAATATAACAAAATAGAAATCATGAAGCATCATAATTAACATACACTTGTGAACCTACAGACAAGCTCACAATTAGAACATTAAAAAACCACTAAAGCCAGTTCTTCCCGGTGTTAGATCACTGCTTATCCCTCTCCCAAAGATAATCTGAGTTTTGTGTTGTGCATGACTTTGCCTTTTAAAAATAATTTATCACAGATTATATAATCCTCCAATAACATGTTGTGTAGTTGTGCTTGTGTTTAACTTTATAAAATGATACCATGCTATAGTGTTCTTTTGCAATGCTCTTTTTAAATTCACCATTACATTTCTAAAATTTATCTATGTTGTATATTGAAGCTATACTTTGTCATATTTAGTTTTTGCTATTATAAGCAAACCTGCTAGGAATTTTCTTGTTTGTAGCTCCTAATTTGAAAAGATACAAGAGATTGTTTAGGATATAAACCTGGACTAGAAC